AATCATTTCAGACACAGCCACAATCAATAATTCATTTACTCCAAAGACGCCATTTTAAGAGAGAAGATAACTAGGTTAGTGGGATCTGGAGCAGCGTTGTGGGCTGAAGTCCCTGCCTTTATTGAGACAGGTGCAAAATCCCTATCTGCACTGTGATTTGTACACAACGTAAGGAAATAACAAGATTGCAGTGTGACTCTTTGGCTGCAAAATGCAAATCAGCTGGGCAAAGAAACATGAAGCACACCCCACAAAATGATTCTCCATGTACAGAATCACCTAAGTGGGATGTGCTTCATTTTTCTCTGCCCAGCTGATGTTTGTGTGTATGTGTACATCACACTTTCCCCAACAGACAGGCATATATAATCATTTGCAAATCCCTGTTCTATGTTTATTCTCTTATTTCTCTTATTTCCATGGTTTATTCCAAGGCAGCAATACAAAATTACAATTATCTCTCTCCATCCTCCACTCCACTCTTTCACTAAATGTCTTCTGCCTTCCTTTCTACTAACATATGGAGTGTATCTCTCCACGCCCATCCCTCTTCACCACTGCTTTCCTTACACGAAACACATCCCTCTTAGGCGATTCTCTCAGCATACTTGTGTGTATGTTTCTCCCTGCTTTGCTTATCCTTTCTATTGTTCACCCCAACACAATATTCATAATTGCAGTTCCCTCTGTTCCTCGCCTTCCCCATTTCACCCATTCATTAAGTGGATTTTCTCCCTTTCTTTCTGCTCTGGCACTCAATGTATCTCCTCACCACCCATTCCCTAACTAGTACTTTCCTTACATGAAGCATATCCCACTTAGGTGATTCTCTCAATACACACACACACACACATATAATATCCCACTCTGCTCATGCTCTCTTTTGTTTGTTTCCATGGTGCACATAAACACAAAGAACATCCCAGGTAGGTGATTCTCCCACCATAACATAAATATCAATATCGATATCAATATCTATATCTATATATAGTCCCGAGTGGAGCAATGGGTTAAACCCTTGTGCCAGCAGGACTGCTGACTGAAAGGTCGGTGGTTTGAATTTGGGGAGCGGGGTGAGCTCCTGTCTATTAGCCCCAGATTCCCATATGGAGACATGAGAGAAGCCTCCAACAGGATGGTAAAACATCTGGGCAACCCCTGGGCAACATCCTTGCAGACGGCCAATTCCCTCTCCAGAAGCAACTTGCAGTTTCTCAAGTTGTTTGTGACACACAAATATATAATATATATACAGTAGCATCTCGCTTATCCAACATAAATGGGCCAGCTGGATGTTGGATAAGCAAAAATGGTGGATAATAAGGAGGGATTAAGGAAAAGCCTATTAGTTTGATACATGGTAACATTATGTAGCAATTACTGTATTTACGAATTCAGCACCAAAACATTGCAAGGTATTGAAACAGCTGTGGATCTGGGCGAGGGGGCTGGGGGTAAACTCCGTTGGATAACACAGAATGTTGGATGAGCAAAGGTGTGTGTATGTGTATGTATGTATATATGTATATATGTGTGTGTGTGTGTGTGTGTATCCCTGCTCTGCTTATCCTCACCATGGTGCATAGAAACATGAAACACACATCACATTCCATGTAGGTGATTTCCCCAATTTATATGCAGGCATACATATTCAATATGTGTGTGTGCTCATTCATTCATTCATTCATGTAAAAATATCATTCTGCTTATCTTCTCCTTTGCTCATTTCCACAGAATGAGAAATTGCAATTCCCCTCTCTCTAATCCTGCCACACTTCCTTCCTCCTTTCCTTCCTTCCTTCTTCTTACTCCCTTTCCTTCACTCCTTCCTTCCTTCTCCTTCCCTCCTTCTTCCTTTCTTTCTTTCTCTTCTTCTTCTTTCCTTCCTTCCCTCCTCCTTCCTTCCTACCTTCTTCTTCCTTTTTCTTTCCCCCTTCCTTCCTTCCTTCCTTCCTTCCCGCTTTCTTCTTTCTGTCTTTCCCTCCCTCCCTCCTTCCTTCCTTCCTTCCTTTCTCTTCCTTGCTTTCTGTGTCCATCTCCCCTTACCCAGCATTTTCATGTATTCGTCAAAGCATTCGGAGTTTACGAGTCGCCATCTGCCCAGGAATGCCTCTGCGTTGGCCATGGTGCCTCGGACGGGAGAAGAGGAGCCGAAGAAGGAGGAAGAGGAGGAGGAGGAGAAGAAGGGCTGGGCTGGGGGCGATTGGGGAGCCCTTTATAAGAGAGGTGCGGAGCGCATGTTGCCGGTGGGACCAATGGGAGACAACTACGTCAGGGATGCCGCCCTGGCCTCTCTCCGCCGGTGCCTGACGCAGGATGATGGGCTCCGTGTCAGAAAGGAGGGAGGGAGGGAGAGAGGGAAGGAAAGAAAGAAAGAGCGGGGGAGGCAGGCGGAGGAGGGCTGGCTCTTCTTCCTTTCCCGCCGGAGGGGAGGAGCGCCGTGGCCGGGCGTTTCTGCTCCTCCTCACCTCTAGGCACATGCGGAGCATCCATTCCTCACTGTAGAGCCGTGGTTCTCAACCTAACATATGCCTCGACCCCTTAATACAGTTCCTCATGTGGGGCTTCAGCTCCCACCCCCGAAATTCTCATGGTGGTTCGCGAAAAGGCCTTACTGGTGCATTATTTAAACTGTTATGTTTATTCATAACATGATCTGATCACCATACTCAATATATCCCATATGCATGGGGGTATTGGGGTAATGATACAAAAGGTTTGCTAGGCTAGACCCTCTTTCACTCAGACTCAGCCCCCCCCCCGAAACCCCCTGAAATTTTTTTTGCCCCCCCCCCCCCCCCCCCGAAACGAAATCCTGGCTACGGGCCTGCCTCGACCCCTTAATACAGTTCCTCATGTGGTGGTGACACCCAACCATAACATTACTTTCGTTGCTACTCCATAACTGTAGTTTTGCTACTGTTGTGACTCGTCATGTAAATATCTGATAAGCAGGTTGTATTTTCATTCACTGGACCAAACTGGGCACAAATACCTGATACGCTCAAATTTGAATACTGGTGGGGGGTTGATTTTGTCATTTGGGAGTTGTAGTTGCTGGGAATTATAGTTCGCCCACAATCAAAGAGCATTCTGAATCTCCACCAACAATGGAATAGAACCAAACTTGGCACACAGAACTCCCATGACCAACAGAAAATACTGGAAGGGTTTGGTGGGCATTGACCTTGAGTTTTGGAGTTGTAGTTCACCTACATCCAAGAGCACTGTGGACTCAAACAATGATGGATCTGGACCAAACTTGGCATGGATACTCAATATGGCCAAAATGTGAACACTGATGGAGTTTGGGGGAAATAGATCTTGGCATTTGGGAGTTGTAGTTGCCAGGATTATAGTTCACCTACAATCAAAGAGCATTCTGAATCTCCACCAACGATGGAATTGAACCAGACTTGGCACACAGAACTCCCAAGACCCAACAGAAAATACTGGAAGGGTTTGGTGGGCATTGACCTTGAGTTTGGGAGTTGTTGTTCACGTACATCCAAAGAGCACTGTGGACTCAAGCAATGATGGATCTGGACCAAACTTGACATGGATACTCAATATGCCCAAATGTGAACACTGGTGGAGTTTGTGGGAAAATAGATCTTGACATTTGGGAGTTGTAGTTGCTGGGATTTATAGTTCACCTACAATCAAAGAGCATTCTGAACTACACCAAGGATAGAATTGGGCCAAATGTCCCACACAGAACCCCCATGACCAAGAGAAAAGAATGTGTTTTCTGAAGGTCTTTGGTGCCCCCTGTGACACCTCCTCGCGACCCTACCAGGGGTCCTGACCCCCAGGTTGAGAAATGCTGCTGTAGAATGGATGCCCTTTGACACCATTTTAATTGCAGGGCTTAATGCTATCGGAGTCTGTAGTTTGGCAAAGGATGCTGTAGTCCAACAACAGCTGGAAAGCAACACAATTCCCTCCCACCCCCCACCCACCCCAGCTTCATGCATGAATCCCCTTTTGGGATTTACCGACACAAGAATTGTTGTTGTCCATTCGTTCCAACTCTTCATGACCTCATGGACCAGCCCACGCCAGAGCTCCCTGTTGGCCATCACCACCCCCAGCTCCTTCAAAGTCAAGCCAGTCACTTCAAGGATACAATCCATCCATCTTCCCTCCTTGGTTGGCCTCTCTTCCTTTTTCCTTCCATTTTCCCCAGCATCATTGTCTTCTCTAAGCTTAGAGAAGACACAAGAATTACCTGCTTCAAAGCCTTTCAAACACTGGAACAGACCCTTAAACTCAGGAGGACCTTCACATTTAGAAAGCAATGCACTGCTGAGTACACTATATAATAGAGTTCGGATCCCAGCTCAGGCATGAAACCTACTGGGTGACCCTGGGCAAGTTGCACCCTCAGCCTCAGAGCAAGGCAATGGCAGCCCTCTTCTGAACAAAATCTGCCAAGACAACCCTGTGGTACATTTGTCTTAAGAGTTACTACCATAAATTGGAAATGACTTGAAAGCACAACAAAAAGAACATTTTTTGGATCTTAGCAGTAAGACAAGCAACAGACAAGCTAGGGAGCAGAATATGAATTAGGAGTGGCTGTTGTCACCCACAGAGTGTGTGACTGAAGGCAATTATAAGTCATGGGTGAGAAGATATTGTGTTATCCCCACCCACAATCAACTTTCATAACATGTGTGCACTCTGCCCTGCCTTAGTGACTCTATTATTGATTGTATCATTGAGTAAGTGTGACACAACAAACTTTAATCACTTTGATGTTTTGCATATGGGAAAGACCCAAATATTTCAGTGTAGCTGCTTGGGATATAGCAGGTATGGGCAAACGCAGGCCCCAGGGCTGGATACAGCCCCTTGGGCTCTTTTCTCAGGCCCTCCTCTCTCTCTCACCATCTCATCCTTCCTTCCTTCTCTTTTCTTCATCTTTCACTCCTTCTCTTTCTTACTTACCTCCCTCTTTCTCCCTCTCTCCTTCCTTCCACTCTTTTGTCCTTCCTTCCCTCTTTCCTCCCTCCATCCCTCTCTCCCTCTTTCTTCTTCCTTCCCTTTTGTCTTCCTTTCCTCCCTTCCTTCTATCCTTCCCTTCATCCCTTTCTTGCTTCCCCCTTTCCTTCCTCCTTTCCTCCTGGAAAATGTTTAGCTGGGAGAAGAAAAGGTAGAGAGGGAACATGAGAACCATGTTTCAAAGTTTAAATGGGTGCCCCATTGAGGCGAACAGGGGGGGAACTAATTTTCTGCTGCTCTAGAGACCAAGGCACAAGGGAGCTATGGGTTCAAATGACAGGGAACAAGATTTGACTGAAACGATTAGGAATAACTTCCTGGAGAGTAGCATAGGCTGCCTCGGAGCATGGTGGAGTCTCCTTCTCTGGAGGCTCTTCCACAGATGCTGTATATTGGGAGTGCTTTGATTGTGCCTTCTTGTGTGGCAGGGAGTTGGACTTGATGGCCCTTAGAGGTCTCTTCCAACTCTAGGATTCTAGGATTCTTTATCAGGAGTAGACAATATGGGGTTTTTCTTCCCCATCCATCACTTCATCCTGACCAAGGCTAACCCTTATGGGATCCAAACAATTCCCATCTTTCCTTCACTTTCTGGGAGGAAAGGCAGGGAAGGGACTTGGGGAGAATCTCCTCCCTACCACCCAGCCCATGCACCCCATTCTGGCCCACCATGCAACCCCCAATTTAGAAAGTTTGCCCATGCCTGAGATATAGACTGGCGGGGGAGGCCCTTCTCTCAGTCCCACCACTGTGTCAAGTGTGGTTGGTGGGGATTAGAGAGAAGTCCTTCTCTGTGGTGCCCCCCCCCCTGGATCTGGAATATCCTCCCAAAAGAGATCAGATTAGCCCCAATCCTTCAATCCTTCCATTTCAACCTGAAAACATGGATGTTCAGACAGGCCTTTGACCTTGAGTAGTCTGAATAGGCCCATATGAAGCTGACACTTGGCACCTTGTGAATTGATGGCAGTTAGTTTTATCTACTGTTGTTTTAAAATTGTATTATTTTGATTTTATGCTACATGTGTTGATGTGGGTTGTTATAATTTTATGTATCATGTTGGTTGGAGATGTGGTTGAACATACAATGGTTTGTTGAACCATTAAGAAAAAAGAAATGCTAGATCTTGCCTTTTTAAAGCAAGGTTCTATCCCAGAATGTTTAAAATAATAAGACTCAGCTATGAAAAATATCATAGTGCATTTTAGTGCATGCGTAGATGGTATGATCATTAAAATACCTAAATGCAAACATAGTTTTTTTAAAACTAAGACAATCAGAGTGCATGGCTTCAAGCAGATATGACTACTAGTACTCTAATTGAGAAAAATAGCCTCTATAAATACTATAGCTGGTATACAGGGCAATCTTCTAGATACATTCATGATTCAATGGAAAACAACTGCATGACAATTCTTTCTTATAACGCCATCCAGTTAATTAACTTTTTGATTAAAATATATATTCATAGAATCTGAATTAAGAACATTGTGAAATAATATATGTATTTTACAGAGTATTTTTTAAATGATTATATGTTTTGATTATGTGTTTTATCAATGTTGTAACCTACCTTGAGCTGTGAGGAGAGGCAGGTAAGAAATAAAATTATTATTATCATTATTATTGCTTCATTAATATTGCTTTCTGGCAATGTCAATGCTTTCAGAAGTGTGTACCTGTGTCTTAAATGTAAATATTTATCTAACAATAGAGCTATCCCATAACATAGCTGCAATATTGGCTAAATGCTTCCTTTTGTGATTTTGCACTGGATGATATAACTCATTTAAAGCTAATTCACATGTCCTCTTCACTCCACCCTGGAGGCATGTAGAAGCAGGAGCCTGCTTTAAATTCCTGAATTCATCACCACCCAAGTGATAAATTACTTGAATGAGCAGAGTTAGTCAGTCTTTGCAGGCTGACATTTATGTGCTTGTATGCCTGATATGGTAGTGGCTGCCTACACATGACCCACATATTGCTTGTGTTTCAAAATAATCACCATGTGCTGAGAGATGGTATGCACAGACCTTTGAAAATATAAAAAAAATGTTCAGAAGGAACAGTTCCATCATTTGATACATCTTGTTTCTTACCATAGTGGCCAACCAAGCACGGATAGCTCATTCTGTGAGTGGGAAAAGGCCTCATTTTGCCATATAATTCAAAGTAAACCTGTTGAGACCATGGGCTGCAGCGGTTCTCTTGAGTTTATGAGTCTACTCTACTCTTTGAAAGCATCTAAGCAAGAAGCTGTATGCTCCATCTTGTGAAAGTGAATTCCAAAAAGTGATATAATTTTGCCAGGAGTAGGAATCATGTTCCT